CTCACAGCTGGGGACATGAGAAAGGGAGGTCCCTGGTGGGGTGGGTGGGCAGGCACAAGGGGACAGAATGAAGGAATTCCTGTGGCTGACAGCACTGGAGTGGGTAGGGTTGCAGTTATGTAGAAGACATACCTGTCCTTCTCCTCCTTGGTGACAGAGGGCTCCCTCCGCTCCACAGGTCGCTCCTTGTCTGAGCCCGGTGTCCGGGCAGTTTCAGGGGGTCGGACCCAAGCAGGAAAGGCAAGAGGACTGCGGTGTAGGCGGCCCCATGGGTCTGGTGGGGAGGCAAAGGCTGGTGGGGCTCCTGGGCTTTCTTTCTGGGCAAAGACGGCGCTGGAGTCTGGGTAGAAGGTAAAGTGGAAAGTGACAGAGGCCAGGAGGTGGCCTCACAGGCCCAACTTGAGCACACTGCCCCATTGTCACAGTTCCCACCCTCCATTTCCCACCCTGCCCAGCACTCACTGAATGTGGGGCTGCCCAGGCCTCCAAAGGCCCCGTTGGAGAGGGCAGCCAAGGAGGCGAAGCTTGTGGGACGCCCAAAGGGATCTGTGGGAGGAAGGGGAACTGGTCAGAGCACAGGACAGCCAACTTTGAGCAGGACCAAAGAAATGGTGGGGAAAAGGCAGGTCAGTAACAAGGCTGGAGCTCGTAGCAGCTCAGATTTTTGGTATTTGTTCTTTGAAACAGGATCTCACTACATAGTTCTGGCTGGCCTGGAACTCACAGAGATCCACTTGCCTCTACCTCCCCCAGTGTTGGGATTAAAGGCGTGTATAACAGCTCTTAGTGACTTAGTTCTAACAACCATGTACTGAGCATCTCTTGTGCCAGGTCAGACACTGTTGTTTAGCCTCTTTACAATCTCCATAGTAAAAAGGACAATTCCCACTTTCAAATGATAAAATAGGCTCAGAAGGTGAAATGACTTGCCAAAAGTCATCTAGCTGTAAAGTACCATCAGCTTGGGGCACCTCTAAACTTTAAAAGTCAAATTCATGTCTGTACCCCTACTCCAAGTATTTAAGACCTTTTGGCAGTTCTCAATTCTGTAGCAAACTACGAGCCTAAAGACTTCTGCTGCCTTCACCCTTCTGTAATACCTTCTCAGCCTGATTCTAACTTCATACACAACCTAAATCTGCCAGAATTAACTAGCCTACCCCTCCATGAGAATCTCAGTCTTTCCAGCCAGAAACACCTTTATATGGGTTTAACTTCCTCCTTCCCTCACTCTCTTCTCTCCCCCTCCCTCCCCTCTCTACCTATAGTTAGGTTAAATCTCTCCAGGAAACTTTCAAGTCCCCCTAGGCCATGCTCTCCCTTGGACCTAACACAGCCTTCCTTCTCCACTCTATTCCAGATGGACACTACCCTCCACCACTGGTTATTTCAGAGATAGGAGTAGCAGCGGCAGAGTGTGAACCATTCTGCCCTTCCATACTCATTCCACAGAAGAGGGAATCACAGTTCAGAGTAGGGACAGTGACTGCCTAAGGTCACAAAGCAAATAAAATCCTATCTACCCAACCTGAGTTGTTTCTTAGGTCTGGTTTCCATATCTATTTCCATGTTAAGAATGGGGCACAGGAAGCCCCAAATTCTCTTGGCTCTTACCAATGTGGGTGCTGGGGCTCAGGAAGGGTCCATGAGCCCCGGGAGCTGTTGTGAAAGGATTGGCTGCAGCATGGACGGCTCCTGGGGCAAAGAGGTGGGAGATTCTGATGAGGATGAGTGGGAGCAAGGTGGATTGGGCTATAAGCTCTGAGAGGGCTGGCCAGACTCACCAGTTGCAGTGAAGAGGGAGGCCGGGTGAGAGAGCTCCTGCCCAGGGGGCAGGGCCCCGTAGGGCCCCGGAAGGCAGGGCAAGAGGTCGTTCCGAAAGTCAAGCTTGTGGGAGTCACCCTGCATGGGACATAGGAAGAGGAGCAGTGAGGAGCTGAGTCTGGTCTAGATTTTTTTTCCAACTTTTTATCCTGTTATTCTTAGATTGTCCCTGGCTCTTACTCTCTTACCCCTAGCTTCCCTCCAGGGGCTGGCTAGAACTGGGAGACTTTTAGGTATTTTATACTATCTCTTTTAGCATGTTCTCTAACCATACCAATAACCAGGCAGAGAACCCAGGTGCTATAGAACTGCTCGCCAGTGATAGGGACAGAAGAAAAGGCTTCTTGTTAAAATTTTTCTGAGCTTTGTTGAAAGTCACTACCCAGAGTTCAGACAACCCCTGACTCTTAAACCCACTTTCCCGAGCCCTCCAGTCCCAGTACCTTCATCTTTTCCTGGTGTCTCAGGATCATGTAAGCCACACGCACGTGCATGGCACACCACTTTCCTGGTTTCTGTCGCCCCAGGATGACCAAAGGGAAAGGGAAGGAAAAATGTTCACTCATCACCCATTCCAGGCCTGGCCCTGGGCCCAGCCTTACCACACAGCATCCTCAATCATCACCCCTACAACTGAGGGATGACTAGCTTAATCTTAAAGCCTAAGGAAACTGAGGCTCAGAGAGATAAACTGTTTTGCCCAAGGTCCCATGGCCAGTTACATCTAAGCCCAGGTTATGACTTAAAAACCCTGCACTTTCTATTGTTTTACATCTGGCTGCTTTCATATCTTTAACTTAATTTTTCCCAAGCAGGACCCCAACCCCCTTAGCCAAACACCCTGAAACCAGCCCCCAGCCTCATGCAGCCTAAGATCCTCACCAAACTCACCCTCAAAGGTGGCCGGAAATGATCAGGGATCTGGGGATGGTAAAGGAGAGATTGGAGGCGATTCAGACCTCTTCACTGACCTGAGCGTCACAGCTCTACAGCACCCTTCCCACAATATCCCTGAGACTATGGCTTCCTCAGTGTCAAAACTCCTTTCCCGTTTCTTCTCCCACTCTAGGCATCACTCCTTCTACATCAGGTTTTTAAGCCAGATCCTAGGATGGTACCCTGCTGTTGGGATGGCTGGATAGGACAGGTTTCTCTACCAGAGAGCAGTCTGTCCTTCATGCATGGAATCCTTAGGGGAAGGGACCTTTTAAGGAAGTCCATCCTTCAGGAAACATGTTCTGTACTTTTTTCACAGTGTTCTTAGAGCTGAGACATGTGAGGAACAGGGGAATGACTGATCACTTTAAAGTTTATCTTTTCACTGGGCATTGGTGGCGCATGCCTTTATTCCCAGCACTTTCGAGGCAGAGGCAGAAGGATCTCTGTGAGGTTGACACCAGCCTGGTCTACAAGAGCTAGTTCCAGGACAGCCTCCAAAGCCACAGTGAAACTCTGTCTCAAAAAACCAAAAAAAAAAAGTTTATCTTTTCACTGTTTAATGGGCAGGACTTCCTGGTATGATGCCACCTGTGTGGTGGGGGACGGCGGGAATCCTATGACTTACACTTGAAAACCACTACAAAAACCACTGTCTTGCTAGAGATGTAGCTTAGTGGGAGAATGCATGCATGAGGCCCTAGGTTTGATCTCCAGTACCACCAAACAAAACCAAAATACAAAACTAATGCCCCATTCATTACTTTATTCTTGGGACAATGTTCTCAACCTTTTATTCCTCATGTCTGGGAAGACCTGTTACACAAAAGTTGTCTCCTTAGACTCCTGAGCATGGATTACTAAGAAGAGCCAAGAACTCAACCTTCTCTAGTCAACTCTGCTCTCCCCTCAATATACCTTCCAGCTCCCCCAGGGCCTGACCTGACCCCCCCCTCACCTGTGTCCCCTTCTGGGGGAGCCCGCTCAGCACTGGCCCCAGTCGTGGTGGCAGCTCAGGGTTCGTGTTCTGAGAAAGGGGAATGTAGGGATCAGACAGGAGAGCCAGTGCCAAGTTAAAAGGGGTCTAAAATTAAGCTGGGTGATGGGACAGGAGAGGGAGCATGGCTTTGCAAAACCTGGGTCCAGAAGGGAGGGGCAAGAGGCTAGACACAGTTTTGGGGATGGAAGGAAGGTATACAGGCCCAGGATGTCTGTAAGGGATGGGAAGTGGTAGTTTCTGGATCAGGAGCTCACCTTGGGCTGGAAGGCCCCCTGCAGGGAGCCAAAGGAGACAGCTGGCGGGAGACCCGGAGGGAGCCCGGGCACAGCGGGAGGGAAGGCCATGTACGGCTGTGGAGAGAAGGGCACTAGTCCAAGCAGGGAGTGGAAGTGCAGCCCAGGTCTGATCTACCCATCTTTGGAATCCACCCTAACACCCCCAAAGAGCTTTCCCAAAGTCAGGGCTCTTGATTTTGGGGTTGAAGACTGAACCCCACTGATACATACATTCCCACACATCACACACCCTCACACACACTCACATTATGTCGGAAAAGGCCTTCCATCTTTCCTGGGTATTTCTCAAACTAGGGAAAAGAAGGGAAGAGTGAGCTGCCAGCCAGGGACCAAGGATCTTCCTTCCCCTGCAGGAGACACCCTCCCTTAGGCCTCTGAGCCTCATCAGCAGCCCAAGAGGAGCTCACCATATGGCCGTGGGGAGGCAGCAGGCCCGGGGGGTAGGGGGTGAAGTGCTGGTGGGTGTGCTGGTGGGTGTGCTGGTGCTGGTGGTTGTGCTGGTGGAACTGGAAGGCCAGGGGCCGGGCCGAGCCCCCTGCCCCCACCACCTCAGGGCCACCCTGGGCATTCAGGTAGCGAGAGTTCAGGTCCTGGCCGATCAGGTCCTGCTCTGTGGGAGGGGAGGGGAAGAAGGCTTTAATATCTGGTGCCACCAAATTAGCCTCCTTGGGCCCAGGTGACTGGCCTTCCCTTCAGCCTTGCACCACTCCCTCCACAGGCCCTTGGTCTCTGCCAAAGCCAACTGAGGCCTTCCTTGGGGCCTTGGCCCCCCACCACTCCACCCTGCCAGGACCCCAAACTCACCAGAAAGGGCGTTAGCGGCTGAGGCCCCAGGGTGCCCTGGCACCTGCAGCAGAGGTGGGGGTGGGGGCAGGGTGGGGCCAGGGGAGACCAAGGAGGGGTGGTGGGGTGGTGGTGGGCGCGGGGAGGCTGAGCCACGGGAGGGGCCGGGGCCTTGGGGGGCGGCCGTGAAGAGCTGGGGAGAGAAGTGGGGAGATGAGTGAGGGGGTGGGAGGTGCTAGCTCTAACAGGAGGTGGGTCAGAAGCCTGGGTGATGCTGTGGCCTTGGTTCTCCAATATGGGAGATGGCAGAACTTGGCCCCCAGTGACTCCCTGCAGAGAACCCAGTCTCAGGATGAGATGCCTCCCACACCCAACAACCCCTTCTTCTCTTTAAATCTGGTTTCCACAAAGATGCCTCTGTCATCTCTTGCCATATGACTTTCCTTATTCTGACTCAACCACAGCACAACACAGAACATTCATTTTGATGCTTAATTACAATGGGCCACCAAAGTCACCACCATAAGACAGTGGAAACAGTACCACATTATCCTGTCCTGCAAATCAGGTAGCCTGAACTCTATGCCCATCTTGCCATGAATACCCTAGGTGACCTTGAGCAAGTCACTGCCCCTCTCTGAGCCTTAGTTTTCTCAATAATAACAATGATGATGACGACAAACAACAGTGAGGAACCCACAACAGTCGTGTCATTAACTCTTACCCTTAATGAGTACTTACTGTAGAGCAACTGCTGGCATTTGTTTTATGAGCCAATGCAAGTCTCCAACATGTCGCATCACCTTCCCCAGTGTTACTGTAGCCATGCAACCATCTGTACTATACCAACTCCTTTTCTATAACATAACTCACTTTTTTTTTCCTGGCCTTATCCTAAGCAGTAACATGTTAAATCAAAAAACTGAGGTATTAATTATATTTTCCTAAACCAGCTAACTTTAAATATTTTAGAGTTTATCAAGCTAAGACCTGAAATCACTCCATGTCCCACTAATGACAAGTGTACACACTTTGGGAAACACTGTATTCACTCAGAATCAATCCTCAAAATAGCTTTAAGAAAGAAGTCCTGTTACTATTTCGTCTCATAAGAAAGAGGAAATAGAGGCTCAAAGTGGTCAAGTGACTTGTCAAAAATCATACAGCCAGTAAGTGGCAGTACAAGAATTTTAATCTAGGGTCTAACTGACACTGAAGTCAGCATTGTTAATCATCATGTCAGCATTTCCCAAAGTATGTTCTCAACAACATTATCTGTAGTAGATACACCTTACACAAAGTTCTCACCAGCAAATACAGTTTTGAAAAGGTACAAACTGGATTCCCCTGAACACGAATGTATAAAGGGCTCAGTAAGCCCTGCAGTAGTCTCTTTAAATTTATTTTCCCCAGTGTCACTCCAACTTTCCAATCTCAGAATCCTCTCCAAGTCAGACTCACTCCACGCCCCAGTTACAGAATGTAGCTCTTCCAGATCAGATCAGACCAGACCCCTATACACTCACCTGCCAGTGCTGAGGTCCAGGCTGCTGCCATAGGGAGACGTTCGGAGGCCGAAGGGTGAGACCCGAAGCTGCAGCTGGGGCTGGGGTGGGGGTGGCAGACTGGGGGTAGCTGGTAAGGGTGTAGGGGATGAGACAGGAGGCCGAGGGGCTGGTGGTGGTGGTGGTTCCTTTGGGGGGAAAGGCACTAGCAGCGGGTCGGGCCCTGGGGGCTGCTCTTGGCTCCGCTCCAGCCCCGACACTTTAGGGACCACAGACAGTTTTGCTTCACAGTTCCCATTGAAGGTGCCATGAGGACCCGAGGCTGTGAGGGCAGGATGGCAGACATGCTCAGCAGAGGTTCATGCTCACCATGTCCCTTTCGTGCTTCCACCCCAGACCTTAGGACCAACCTTTGCTGGTTGAGACAGTAAAGGAAGGGTCAAGGTCATCATCGGAGACCTGGGAGAGAAAGGTTACATTATTAAGCTTCTGGAGCCTGCTATGAACTGGTGGTGGTGGCAATGTCTAGTTCATCAGCCTAGCTATGATCCACTGGAATGTGGGCTTTAGGGGACTTAGAAGGAAGTGGGGTACTAAAGCCAAAAACCTGCTATGCCAGGCAGAGATGACAGCAGATCAAAGCAAAAATATCAGCTAAGACTTACTGCTGGAGGGCTAAGTGGTTAGAAGCTTGTACTGGCTGTTACAGAGGACCCAAGTTAGATTCCTAGTACCCATGTCAAGTAGTTCACAACTGTCTGTAACTCCAGTTTCAGGGTAATTTGATACCTCTGGCCTCTGCATGCATCTGTACTCACTTGTATAGATACATATACATAATTAAAAAGTAGTAAGATAATATTTTTGCTTGTTTTGAGACAGGGTCTCACTATGTAGCCTTGGCTGGCCTCAAACTCATAGAGATCTATCTGCCATTGACTACTGAATTCTGGGATTAAAGGTGTATATCACCATGCTTAGTTCTAATAAAATAATCTTTAAAAAACACTATCTGGCCTGCAAATCTGTATGGTTTGTGAATATTAGCAAAAAACAAAACAAAAATACTCCCCCCCCAAAAAAAAAACACAACCAAAAAAACAAAACAAAACAATCCCCACACCTTTAAATTGGTTATATTCTCAGAGCAGAGTATCCTTGTTAAAACAGACTTGAGGGCCTTTGATAATGGCCCCCCATTCTCATGTGACTATAATTAGCTAAAACTGGATAGTGACCACCCCCTTAGGTAGACCACCATAATCTCTGTCTAAAAACTTTAAGAGAAACACACACACACACACACACACACACACACACACACACACACACACACACAAATGTAGTTATTTATGGGAGTAAAGAGGTAGAACATTACCTCCAAGGGCACATTATTTTCCAAAAATCACTAAAAAGAAACTGAAATAGACTGGGGGTGGTGGTAATGGTGGTGCATGCCTTTATTCCCAGCACTAAGAAAGCAGAGGCAGGTAGATCTCTGTGCGTTCCAGGCCAGCCTGGTCTAAAGAACGATTTCCAGGACAGCCAAGACTACACAGAGAAACCCTGCCTTGAGGGAAAAAAAAAAAAAAAGGAAACTGGATACTTCACAGGATGAGCATTTGCACTGATCAATCATGGTCTGTTGTCCTCACTGCAAGACTCAAATTATACAAATAGGCTGATGTCCACAGGAAGGACCATTCTGTTCTAGACTTGGAGAAAGCTAGTCGAGGCTTCAAAGGTTCTGAGAAGAATACTAGACCAATAAGCAAATTTTCAATTCTTTGGTTACCTAGTTGTGTCTTACATTATAAACAATGGGTGGAGGAGCAAGGTATATGTTTGGAGAAACAGATCAGCAGATAAGAGCCCTGGCTCTTCTTCCAGAAGATCCAGGTTCAACTCCTACCACCCACATGGAGGCTCACAACTGTCTGTAACTCCAGTTCCAGGGGATCTGACACCCTCTTCTGGCCTTCTCAGGCACTGCACACAGGAGATACGCAGACATACATGCAGACAAAACACCCATACACAAACTAAAATGAAAAACAAAAAACAAACCAACCAATCAACCAAACAAACCAACAAAAAAACCCAAATCAAACCAAACCAAACAACAACAACAAAACAGGGCCACCAAGATAACTCAGCAGGTAAAGGTGCTTGTTGGGAAGCCTGATGACTTGAGTTCCACCCCTGGAGCCTACATGATGGAAGGATTATACTGACTCCTGAAAGTTGTCCTCTGACACATACAAACACAGTGGTCTCACCCCTCACCCCAACACCTCCTTCTTCCCTCCTTAAAACTTAATACTGGTTCACTACAACCCATGTTTCCACTCAGTAGAAAGACATCCCACTCAGGATGTCTGCTGCTTGTGGAAGCTCTGTAAGCTGCAGACCATTTAAACATGTGTAACAATGCCCACCCAACAAGTCCTAGCCCCACTCACCCTCTCATCCAGATCACTTTCTGCGTCACACTGAGAAGGAAAGAGAGAGATATCAGGAGATAGAAGAGGAGTGGGACCCAAGGGGGAAGGGAAGGGCCATTATAGGTGGATAACACTTACTATATATCCAGCTTCCAGAGAGTGACGAGAGAAGGCCTGAGAAAGACCAGAATCCAGAGGTAAGGGAGGCTGACTGGCCAGGAAACTGTATAAAGCCACAACTCCCAGCAAGGCATTAAAGGACAGTTAAAATCTACTCTCAATCACTTTTTCTAGCCTTTTCTTTGGGCACTTCCCACCTCCATTTCCAATGCTCTTACTATTTTCTTAATACACCAGGTTCTCCCATCTTACATTTTGTTCAAAACAACTTTTCTTCATTTCTTTCCTGAACAAACTTCTGACTCTACTTTGAGGCCCAAGACATTCTAGGGGGCTTTCCCTAACCACAACCCTCTGCCCATCCCCCAGAAAGAATGAGTGGCTTCCTCATGTGGGTTTCTGCAACACTTCTTATAGCTCTCTCCCAGATCACTGCCTTGTACAGCTGCTCAAACTGGTCTAGGTGTTTTCTTTTGTCTGTTTCTTTCTCCCTAGATTGCCACCAGCTAGAGGGAAAGGCAGGGGCATTTAATTTATTTATAATTCAACTAAGTGTCTTTGATGTGTCTCTTAAATCATCAGCATTTTGTAGTATGCATAGCACGAGCACAAGCAAGAGAGTTTGACTATAGTCAAGTCGTTGTCAGGCCCAGAATAGAGAGGGGGCTGCCTTCCTTTCTGCTCTTAGAAACTGGGATTACTGTTCAGGGTTGGCAGTTTGATGCTCATGGAAAACCAACCTACATGAATGATACTGTGACTGAGGAATTTTGAAGGACTGGGATCTGGGACAGACTCACCTCTTTCCGTCTTCGCTTATTGGGCCATTTGCGGGGCCTATCCCCAGGGGGCCGGCCAGGCTCACGATCTGAGCTGTCCCCTGGCTCCCCAGTGGCCCCACTGGAGCCCCCCCTCTTCCGTTTCCCAGAATGCTTCAGCCGATGTTCCAGTCGCTCTGGGGGTTGAAGAGATGCATCCTTCTGTAGAAGAGGAGGTGGGACTGAGGTGGTTGGAGAAAGAAAAGCTCCCCAACTCTCTAAGGGTGACCAAGCTACTCAAGTGCCTCTCAGTCAGGGTAACTTAGATAGTCCCCAGAGACTAGCTTTACCTCCTCCCACCCAGGGTGGGGCAGAAGCTAGGCCAGAGGAGCCGGTTGCTCTGGTTTGGGGTGTCACCACTGCCCCCTCAACCCCATCCACTCTGAGAGCGGTATCCTTCTCTTTGCCCTTCTGACCCTTCTCCCAAAGACCCCCAAACCCTATCAAGACACACCTGCAAGGCCTCAAGACTGGCAAAGCTAGCGATGGCAAAGCCATCGATCAAGTCTTCCTCCTCTTCTTCCTCCTCCTCAGGCTCCTCCTCGGCTTCCCCGTCGTCTGCGGCCCCCTCTTCCTCTTCCTCCTCTTCCTCTCCGCGGC